GTCCCTAAAGAGTAAAATGGAAAGAAAATTTAAAGAAAAGGAGGAAAACTGAAGTGGGACTATCCATCCAATAATCAAACGGATGTGAGAACAATATTTGAAGACATTAAGGAAGACTTTCTTAACTTCAACTTGTAATGGTTGATTCATTGGGTTAACTCTAGAAGTTTAGAAGTTTAAATAACTGAGCAGGGGGCCAGGGTTCTCACTTTGCAAACATCCCTAGCCTATGCAGGAGGAGGTTAGGAAGATGGTATGAGGCTGTACATGCCCTAGGGCAGGTATCCTGTACAAGATATAAGGGAGGAAAGAGGCATGCTTTTCCCCATTTTGCTCTTGTTGCTTTTGCTGTCTTCTGCTTTCTTGAACTGTTGCCCCTTACTGTGCCACCATGCCTTAGAGCCAGCTGATGTTGGACTGGCCCCTCCATGTATGGGAAGCTAAATAAATCTTTCTGTCCTTAATTTAGGGTGTTGGGTATTTTGCCTCAGCAGTGACAGAAGAGTAACCAATACATTACTCATTAATTTACACCAAATATGTGTTCAATATCTACTATGTATGTATTGGTGTGATTACTGTGTGCTGAGTAGACAGCAGTGAGTAAGATCACTTCAAGTTCCAGCTTGCGTGAAACTCACACTTGGACAGGAGGCAGACAAGAAACAAAGGCAGTGTAGACATGTTAGCAAACAGCTGCTAAAAGCAAAATGAAGTGGGGCTGGGGAGATAGCATGGAAATCTAAGCATCTGCCCAGGAAGTGCAAGGATCTGGGTTGGATCCCTGGTATCACATGCTGTGCTGGCTCTGGAACTCCTGGTGCACAGTGCAGGCCACCAAGACAGGGCATGGTAGCACACACCTGTAATCCCAGCATTGAGGAGGCTGAGACAGGAGGATCACTACAAATCTGAGCTGCATAGTGAGACCTCATATCAAATAAATTGAAATAAAATTAAAATTCAAAAAATAAACAAAGAGAGTTTTAAGACAGATAGTTTTTCATGTGGATTATGCAACTTCTTTGAGTCAGGTGCTCAGAGAAGGCTGACATAAGGAAAGCCATGTGCATTGGAGATTGGCTCACAGGGAGCTTCCAGGCCACATGGGCACTACAGGAATTCTGAATGTGATGGGAAAAGAGTTTAAAATTCCCTGAGATAATAACAATCTTCATGACAGAACAAACAAAACCACCCCTCGCAGTGTGGCTTGCATGTGGCTTGTCCCTCATGGGTTTACATGCTGGCTACTTGTTTCTCAGTGTGGTGGTGCTGAGATGGTCAGAGGTCTTTGAGGTGGACCCTGGAGCACTTCCCCTGAAGGAATTAAGGTCATTCTCATGGGAGCTTGATTTAATTCTCATGAAAGTGTTGTTATAAAAGGAGCCAATCATGCCTGCCCCCCATTCTGGCTTCTGTCTCACCATGTGGTCACTCTCACACACACTGCAGCGATAATCCCTTCCACCATGATGTCATCCAGGTTAGGAAACCCTCACCAAAGGTTAAATCAATAAGGCTGCCTGATTTTGAACTTTTTGCCTCTGAAACAGCTACATATAACTCTTTTCCTTATACATGCAACCAGCTTTAGGCATTTTGTTATAGAACCAAAAATGGACTAATAAACCTAGACATAGACTTGTTATTTTAGTTACATTTTCATTACTGGGATAATATAAGTGACATACACAACTTAGAGGAGAAAGGGCATATTCTTTTGGCTCATAGTTTGAGAAATTTCAGTCCATCATTGGTTCCATGACAGAAACATGGAAAAAAGTTATGGTGGACCAAAGCTGCTCACTTCATGGTGGCTGGGAAGAGGGGTGAGAATGGAGGAAGAAGGCACGAGAGAGAGAGAAATCCTCCAAAGTACACCTCCCCTGCTCCAGTCATTGCACTTCCTCTAAAAGACCCCACTTCCCAACAACACACTCACCATGGTGGCTTAGTCCAGTCATGATGACAGCAGCCTAGTGAGCCATTCATCTCCCCAGGAAGCTTTTATTTTCATCAAGTTGACAATTAAGATGAATTGGCCCACACGCTGTCCATTATAAAGAAAAAAACCTTAATAGCTACAAGGAAAACATTGATTTCTAATTTTATTGCATTATTATGAGTAAGAAGTCTACTTTACACTTCTTACTAGCAATATAAGAAGGAAGAGCAAAAATGAGCAATGTATCACACACAATGCTTCCCTGCACTTTAGACTAGGGTTAAAAGTCATTCTGCTACTTACTACTTGAAGAAGCTACTTAACTTCTCTATGCTTCAATTTCCCTATCTGGAAAGTAGGGGATAAAGATGGTTGTCGCTGAACAGAATTGTTTTGAAGATTAAATGAGAGAATATATTGCAAGTATATAGACCAGTTGGTCCCTGGTGTCTGTAAGGGCCATTTATATGCTAGTAGTATGACCAAGAAATTCTTTTCAAATGTACATGGAACATAGACAAAAATTGGCCTTGTATATGAGATCATGTAAGAAGACTGAGGAAATTTTAGTTTGTAGTGTTCACTGGCATTATAATACAATAAAATTAGAAATCAGCAATGGATAATAGAAATTAATTCATGGGTAAAATAAATGAAGAGAATTCAGCATTCTAAACTGAAAGCATAAGCCCAGCTACACCCCAGGCCCAGTGTGTATGTGGGACCATCCACCTTGTTCATCAAGCCCAAGACCCCTCTCCAGCCAGACCCCAGGCCCTGGGCCAGGCCTGCTATAGAACCTCGCAGCAGAACCCCCTGCAGAGAGGCTAGGAGCCAGACCCACCCAGCTAATCCAGGAGCTGTACATCTTGCCAGAGTGGCACAGCGGGTTCACCTCTATGAGCTGTGTCTTAGTTACTCTTCTCTCGTTGCTGGGACAAATACCCGACACTCAAAATGAAGGAAGGAAAGGTTTATTTAGCTCACAGTTACTGGAGGTTTCAGTCCATTCTCAGCTGGGTCCAAGGCAGAGCAGCACAGAGCAGAAAGCAACCTTTCATGGCAGTGGCAAAGAGCAAGAGTGCAAGGGAGGGGTAGCAGCAGCTCAAGCAGCTAGCTTCTCTTCCCACCTTACATTGTAATGCAAATTACCTGCCCCAGGGTAGGGGAAGTACTCATACCTATGGGTACTTCCCAGTACTTACCCACCTATGGGTAATCCCAGCAGTACTAAGACCCATAATCCCAGCCTTGGATCACACATAATCCTAGTGGATCATGAGTTAACACAAACTCTAGAAGTCCTCACCCCATGACTGCATGAGGCTTTGGGGGGACAACTAGACACAAACCATAACAAGCTACAGCAGGAAGAAGCTGAGCACAGCAGCCAGACCAAAGCCAGGAACATCTGGACAAGTTCAAAGTTGGTAGATCCAGACCCAGTGAGCTAAGACACTTTGCTGGACCCATATCTATGAGAGTGTCCTCTCTTTTTATTCTTGATCTACAAAGGGGGCAACAGGTAACTGGGTGAATGAGTCTGCCTGGAAGACCCCAGGTACATCAAAGGAAGGTGATTAGACAGAATTTAGGGGAACTAACTTAAATACAAATTCCCAATTTAATATCTGCTTAGCTGCCAGACATAATGTTTGTTCTTACTGTCTAAAACACAAACCCATTAGTTGCAAAAATTTGTCAACTGCTAAATATCACTATCCATTATTAGTGTTCTTAATTGTGGTTCTGTAAATTCAAAACTAAAACTGGCTTAACGATATAATCTCTTGGGTAAGAATTTCAGTAGGTGATAAGGTTGTAACTGCACCAAAGTTCTACACCAAAGGTCAGAGGACAGTGCTATACAAAATGAAAAACTCTTTCAAATTGTACAGAGAAGTGAAATATTTCCATGACAAAGAACAACTAAAGAATTTCATGATGACAAAGCCAACCCAACACAGACTACTAAACAATATTCTAGAGAGGGACCAAAATGACCAATACACTTAAAGTATCAGGATAAGCCAAACACACATTCCAAAGGAAATGTATGCTTTAAGTGAAGCAAACAAACAAATGAAGCATATTTTTAATTAAAGTGAAATGCAGAATAAACCCAAAGAGAGTAGAAGGAAGGGAATAATATTGATAAATCAGTAAATTAACAAAAAATTATAAAGCTGATCAACAAAACAAGGTGTTTCTTTGAATACATCAATTTAGGATGCACCATTGGCGACCAAGGCCAAGATAAGAGAGCCCGTAGGTAGTCGACATTAGTCATGAGAAAAGGCGTAGCAGGAGGTTGAACTGCTGGTGCTGCTGGCATTCAGTTTGCATAGGCAGACTGGTGTGATGAGTGTCCCTTGTGGCCATGGCTTGTGCCAGGACATTTCTTTTGACTTCCATGTCTTTTTTGCCTCATGCTTTGGGACAAATGCTCAGGCAATTAGCACACCTATCATTTAGAAGAATAATGTAAAATAATGTACAAAGCCTTGTAGCATCTTGAAAATCCAAATGAAATGAATGCGTTATACCAAGAACAAGAATTGGCCTTACAAGAACAAAAACCCCATGAAGTCTTCAAGCACAAACATTATTAAAGAAAGTTAAAGACTCTTAATCACCCCCTCACCTGTGCATGTCCTGTTCCTCTTTGATTAAAAAAACAATATATATAGATTTTTTTTCTTTGTCTTTTTGAGACAGGGTCTTGCCATGCAGTTCAGGCTGGCCTTGAGCTTACTTGGTAGCCCAGGCTGGTCTCGAACTCACAACAATCCTTCTGTCTCAGCTTCCTGAGTGCTGGGATTACAGATATGTGCCCAGCCTAGAGGTATTTTTAGTGACACATCCTATTAAAGCTTTGGTGAATATAAAATGAACTCTCCTACATTTATCTAAAAGATACTAATCTCTACAAATGACGATGTATTCAAATATTATGAGTATAATTTTAAAATAGTGTTAAAAAGTGGCAGCGAAGAGAAGTGAAGTGAATTTCTAAAGTATGCAATCAGGAAATAAGCCTGAGTCTACTCACCTGTTCCAAAATGCAGTGTAGTATCAGGGGCACAGAAATGAATTCCTCTGGAATTGGATTCAGCAGGTCGTTGTAATATCTCATGTCTACCTCAGATGTTGAGATGAAAGTCACTATAAAACACAGAAAATAACACTGTCCAGTTAAGTTCCAGTCTCCATTTCTTCCCTGAGAATTTCATGCACAATTGTAACTATGGCAATGCATTAATAAATGTAGCCATGGTAGATGGAGGGGGAGCTCAGAGGAACACGGAGGGCAGCGGTTATTCCCTAAAGGGTCAGCTCATGATGTTGGCCTCTGGCCGCCAATGCCATACGTGCCTGGTGGTGGAACTTGTGGCTCTTCAGACTGTGGTTTCTTCTTTGCAGATCCTGGAACAACTTGTTGCAGAGCCTACATAATAATAACGAAAAAAAGTGGAACTGAGATCTCCACCTGAGAGGTACTTTCATCAGACACTGGTATGAGCCAACAGCATTCTGAGTATAATTACGTTCATACCACAGAACCATCGGGACTTTGTGGGAGGCAGGAAGCTATGGGTGTAGGGGTGCTATTCACCTTTTTTTTTTTTTTCCATGTCCTGCTAAGGAATTGCACAGAAGATGATGCAGTGATGTTTCATGGAGCGTCAAGCTTTTCTCTACTGCATGATGTTGAGTCATGCCGTTCCATCATAACAGCCTTTCAGTGGTTCTCCACTGCACTCAGGACAAATCCCAACGTGCTCACTGACTCAGCACCAAGAACACTGCCAATGTGCCTCCTCCCTGTGCAGCTTGAAGTTATACTGTTGCTCTCCCTTCTGCGTAGGCAGGCTGGGGACACGAACTTCCTTCCCGTGCTCTTGGCTTGTGTCACAGCAATGTCTATATCCCCGCGTATCTCTGCCCCTTTTGCGAGGATATCATCATACCCCCTTTCTCCATCCCGTTTTCTATTAGTGCAAACTGAGCCTCCAGCCTATCACTAACCCTGAGAGTGTTTTTCTGACTCCTCTCCCTGCACCCTACTTCTTCCCCACGTAGGTGAGCAACCATTTTTCCACAGGTTTTCCTGTGGTTTCAGCTGTGGGCTTTCGTAGTGTTCACTGTGCTGTACTCAAACTGTTGACCACTGTTCTCTGCAAAGGTTCCTCACTGAGGAGGACAGGGCATGGGTCTTCGCGGTTGTGCTGTTAGCACCTCGCACAGGCCAAGCACATAGCGTCTGCTAAACCAATACAGTGATTATTTGATCACAGCCCCCCGCTTTTTTCTACCTGCTATTCCTTGCATCATAAGCTGACTGATGTGTTCCATCCTTACTTTTGCAGGCATTAGATAGTTGAGAAGCTTCATAAAGACCCCACCACGTAGCCCTCTAACCCTTTTCCTAGTTCCCACTCTTATGAATTAAATTCCAGCACACAGTATTACCTCAATAAAAGTATTCATACAAAACTTTATTGTGTGCTTTCAAAGTGTAAAAATTAAGTTGTTCAATTTACCATTTTGGCATATTGGAGACATTTGAGCTCATGCCTACCTCAGAAACTGGTATGGCTTCTAAGATCGTTTTCTCATTAACCACTTGTGGGACATTAATAAGCTTCATGCTTTCCAAATAATGCTGGTGCTGTCTTTTCCAATCCAGGGTGTCATACATCAAATATGCAATATTTTCAAAAATATTGGTACCCAACTGAAGCTACAAGTGAGAGAATTAATGACAACTGGTTATTGGTTTTGGATTATTAGAAATAGATGCTTGATTTGTGTCACTCGTATCAGCTAAGCCTGTCAAATATTTATAGGAAAGCACATGTCTGAGTCCCTGAACAACTGAGTTCAGCGGTGGTGATGAAATCTTACTCTGTGACCCTCGCTTACCACTCTTGTTCATCACAATGCACACTTTTGATTCCCTTTATAGGACCATATAGCTGCCTAATACTGAGGAAGGATAATCAATTTTTTAATTGTTGTTTTTTTTTTTTTTAAATTTTAGGAAAGGGTCTACAAGGTGTTCAGGGTCTCACTACTAGATTGGATTCGTAGTGATACACCTGTTTACAGCCTCCCAAGAGCTGGGATTACAGGTGTGTGCAGTCTCAATTGCCATCTCAGTGTGCCCTGGGGGCAGGGCTGGCACGGCGGGTCTGGGAATCGAACCCCTAGCCCCTGTGACTGCTTGAAGACACTTTAATCTGCTGAGCTATTTGGCCAGCCCCTCAGTGTTTTAACCAAGCGAAACTTAACCATTACCCTCCACAACATGGTCCATATTTTTATATCTCAATTTATAAAACATATTAGATAATTTAACTTCCTTAGCCAAAGACAAACAACAGATGATTTCCTTCCTGGCTATGTAGGAGCAAAACAGAATCGTTTGCTGGGCTTTATGTATCTACTGTCCAGGAACAAACACTACAGTATATTCATAGTCAATATTTCTTCCTTCTTTCCCGGCCTACCTTTTTCCTTCTGCCTCCACTACATTTACAGAGAGATACTAGGAAGCCCATTAGACTACTGCGGCTGTAATTCCCACAAGTTTTATGGGCTAAGAAGCGAGCACAGATCAGATGCATTTGTTACTTGAGCTTTCTTTTCCAGAAGTAGGAAAAGACTGTGATTTCTGAGTCTACTTGAGAGGAAAGGAGTACATAAGCCCATCCTTTGAGTGCAAGAGGTAAGGTAGAATGAGAGGGCTTCTTTTGGGGTCAGTGAGTTGTGGCCTGGCCGAAGTCCAGAGAAAACATCACAACACACCTGTGTATCGCTATCATATGCTCACATTAAGGATGTGAGTTTTTTGTTAAGCTTCAACCTGGTATTCTTTGCTTAAATTCTGGCATACAAATACATATCTAGGAGATAAAGCAAAGCTTTACTCGGTGTTTCGCTTGACTTTGTTAATCCATTCTAAAGTCAAACAGCAAATGATATGCTAAAAGCTATCAATTTATTTCAGCAACCAGGGCTCAACTTGAGATCATGCAGACGTCTTCCACGAGAAGTTAGTGCATCTTGATGGGCATTCACTCGCTGTAAAGCTTTCATTACCCTAGCAAGGCAGGAATGCAGCCTCTTGTTCATGGCCAAAGGTTGCAAGTGCTTCCCATTCATAAAGGAGGATGGACTCGGAGCCTGCTTTGACTTTTTTTTTTTTTCTTTTTGAGTCAGGGTTTTGCTCTGCAGTTCAGGCTGGCCTTGAGCTTACTTTGTAGTCCATACCGGTCTTGAACTTGTGGTAATCCTCCTGCCTCAGCCTCCTGAGTGTGGGGATTGCAGGTGTGAGCCACCAAGCCCAATTCTGGGTTTTCTTTGTACACAGGCCATTTTCCACTTATACTCTAGTGTATGAACACTATGCATTTAGTCTTCTTCTCTTAGTAGATTTAAGTTTAAAATGAACTTGGATCCTCAGTGTTCATGTCAATAGCCTTGGAGGCTCTCCTTCCATAATGTCCTCAATGGTGGTTCCTTCATTCATAAATCAACCTGGGCTCTAACAAGTTGTTGCAGTTGGATGCAGACCAAAGCTCTGGCACAGAAGCGATGCTCCTTACTCACTTGCAAATTGGCTGGTAGGAGATCAGAAGGATCCGTAGGGCAGTGAATCCCTAACTGGTTCTCTAGAGAGCTGAACATTTTGAGACCATAGTTGCCTTCATGCCCTATAGATATGTGGAGCATTAATCATCTGGTCCTGAAGTCAGGTGTTTTCTATCATACCTTGTGTTTTAACTAAGCTAGTAATACATTTTTAATATAAAATAATTTTTCTCAACTTTAATCATCATTGAAATTCTTCTGCATTTTGTAAAAAATATTGCCACTGTGTCTTTCATTACAAGGGATGATGGATCCAATGAGTAGAAAATCATGAACACTGGGTAGGAGGCAGGATGATGCGGACAGAGCCAAGACTGCCAAAGTCATAGTCGAGCCTGCAGAGCTCACCTCCATGCCCCAGGGATGACTCGGAATGACTGTTTGGGGCTGAACATAGTTCATCTTTTCTCACCATGTGGTGAAGAATAGAGAAGCTGCGCAAAAGAAAGCTTTTGCTAGTTCTCTGAATTCACTACATTTGCCAGCATCACACTTCTTCCATTTTTAAATGAATAGGAAACCTAGGCGTGTGCTTCACCTAACGCAGCCTGGGCATATATGACATCTCAGGTGCTCTTGTTCTGTCTCATGGTTTTGGCATCTCTTCTCTGCAAGCTCCTCTCTAGCAGAAGCCAGTAAATGTTCTCAGGAAATGTCTGTCCATTGTTGGGTCAGGCTCAAGTAATCTGATAGAGTGTGTTGGCCAGGTACATTAAAAAAATCAGATTTTGGCAATAAAAGAAAGATGTTAGAAAGGTGATGTCTGAACTGACATACAGAGAGAGAGAGAGAGAGAGAGAGACAGAGAGAGACAGAGAGAGATAGAGAGAGAGACAGAGAGAGAAAGAGAGAGACAGAGAGAGACAGAGAGAGAGAGCGAGAGAGAGAGAGAGACTGAGAGAGACAGAGATTTCAAGAGAGACAGACAATCTAAAATTTTACTATTTCCTCAGTTTATATATAGAGATTTTAATTGCTGGTTCAACATTGTTGAGAAATGAAACACAGCCATAAGTTATTAAATAAAAGCATCACTATTATTTATTTATTATTAATTTCTAAGATGTATTTGCTGTGACAGGATCTCACTACGCAGCCCAGACTCCTGGTGATCCTGCTTTCAGCCTCCCCAGCACTGGGAGTACAGGCATGTGCTACCACACCCGGACTCTGGCCTGCTCAGCCTGCCCTGGGGGTGGGGCTGGTGTAGCATGTGGGGTGCTGGGGATCCAACTGTGCCCCCTGAGCTTGCCTAAGCTTGCCTAAGCAGGTGCTGAGCTATCTCGCAGGCCCCACATCATTGTTATTTAATCTTCATCTGTTGCATCTTATTCTTTACCATTAATTCATACAATAAGAGCTACCGAATCAGGCCATAACCACCGCTGGGCTTTGTGATCAGTGCTCAGTAAGCACCTGCAGCCCGAGCGGATGGGCTGGGCCACAGCAGCACATGTTGAAACTCGGTACTCCCACTGACGAGTGCACTGACCAGTAACTTGCTGTCAGACCAGTCCAGGGGAAAAGCAGCTGCTCTGACCATGTATTCAAATCGAGCAACATCGAAGAGGTTTGTTTCTGGTTTCTCATTACTCAGGATCGGGTCCAGATATTTCCAGAAAATGTCAAGTTCTTTTCTGGCATTCTCTATCTTCAAGTTTTCAGCTTCTATATCTAATAACAGAAATATGTTTTACTACAAAATGAGAGTAGTGCATTTCTTTCCATTTTAACCAGGCATAGTGAGTCACATGCAGAATGAGAGATGTGTGTACAATAAGAGAAAAATAAAAACAACTAATATAATCGTTATGTACTGCAAACAAATACGAATAAAATAAAAATACCAATTTAACAAGGTTTTGAAACTGAACAATATAATTATGAAATCAAAAGATCTTCCTTCTAAGATTGGTATTATTATTATTATTATTAGTAGTAGTATTATTTTGGTAATTTAGGGAAGGATCTACAGGCTGTTCAGGATCTCACTGCTAGATTGGACTTGTACTGATTCTCCTGTTTACAGTCTCCCAAGTGCTGGGATTATAGGCATGCACCACCACGCCCAGTCTCAAGTTTCAGCGCCCCTGCAGGGTGGGGCCGGCATGGCAGGTCCGGGCTAAGATTGACCTTAAATGTGAATTTATCCTACCATTTCATTTCATTGTTGAGGTCCAGAATGATTATGAAGAGGCCACACATTTTGGAAGCTAAATATGCTCAAGATTTTCTATCATTCTTAGGTTGCACCTATGTAAGACCAGTTTTTCATCCAAATAACTTTTGGACTGTGCTTGTGCCTGCTAGGTAATTGGTTAAAAATATTCTTATTTACTTTTTCAAAGGTTAAAATCACTATGGATCAATGATTTATACTTCAGTTAAGTTTTGGTCACATTAGAATAACACTGCCTTTCCTGGGCATTTACATTCTGGTTGTAAAATAGTGAGACTTACACACTTATATTTAAGAATTTATTCTTATTGTATCTAGAACTAAATAGTATGTTATTGTACTAAGGCATCATTCTTTAAAAGGTTATTTTGTATTAATTTATTTTTACATTACATATTTTTATAGAGACTAATTTTCAGTCATGCCACATTTAGTTACTAGCTTGTCTAGTAAGTTATTTAGGTGCCAGGAATTGAGCTCAGCAGCTGAAGTACCTGCCTGGCAAACATAAGGTCCTCAGTGCAACTCCTGGTACCTACGATCCCCCTCAGAAAAAAAAAAAATCTAGTAAAAATATCTCAAAATACTTCTGAGGTGTTCAGGAAAAGTCTGGGTGTGAACCTCAATTCTTTTACCTAACAGTTTCCTCTACTGTGAATTATTTGTAGAAAAAAATAGAAATAATAAGGTGTCTTTGCTGTGTCTACTGTGACAGCTAAATGACTCAATGTGTTTAAAGCTCTGAGATATAAGTGAGGTCCCAAGACATGCGCCTCATAAATAGTATCCTTTACTATTACCAGGGATAGGGACTTTTTTTTTTTTAATAAATAAGTTTATTGGTACATTTTAGGTTTGCATAATGATTACATTCATTACAGGGAATTTGTACCTATCCATGATTTAACCTGATTCTTTTCTGATTTTTTTTCCCTCCATCCTCAGAGGTAGTTATTCTAAATTTGTGCAGCACTTGAAAAAAATGTAGTGTTGCAGAAATGGGGATGTGGCTATGCAAGTTACAAAAGACTATGCAAATATTATTAATGAATAACAATTAAAGCAATGTGGGAGGGAGAAAGAGCTGAGATTTCTGAGAAGAGGCCAACCCTGAACCTCCATTCTGTCACCTATCTGGACTGGCTTTCTGCTTCTTCCCCACAGAGAAAGTCTAGCGCACTTCCCTGAGATGAAGACTCCCAGAGTGCCATATGACAGAAAGACAGTGTGACTGGGATTTCATTTCACAACTTCCTAGTCTCCAGCCAGGAAGATAAAGTGTCCTCTCAATTTATCACACTAAGCCAGTAACAAGTAGGGTAAGACTCCGGGGCTATGAGCTCACTTGGGTCATTGGTGACTCTTGCAAGAACTGATTCATGCATTAAGCAGTAACCTATCCAGACCACGCTTTGTGTGTGAGAAGTTATGAATCAAAAGTTCCTGAGAAATGTAGTAGGACAGCCAAGTCTTCCGACCCACAGTCTGTATTTTCTGTGGCTACGCAGGGGTACAAACACAGAGTAGGATTTTAATTTGCAAGCTTTATGACTCTGAGCTGATACAAACAGAATAAATAGCAAATCAATGTCTCAAAAGGCTTTAATAATGCATGTAGTATAGGACTTTCACTTTGAGGGCTGTGGGTAATACCGAAGGACTCAGTAAGCTGTGTAACAGGCTGCATACCTTCTGGTTGGAGAGAAACTTCCTGCTCCTGGCTAACTGCAGCCAGGTGTGTCTGCAGAGGTCCGTAGTTCTCTGAAGATATTTTAATCACGCTGGTGATAGGAATGCCAAGCTCCATCATAATGGCTAATAGCTGAGGGTTGTTGAAGCCCACAACAATAATGTAATGCTGGGCCCCGTCATCTGGCTCATCGTCTGTTCAGAATAGCATAAAAAAGAGGAGTCATAAGTGCAGAGGAGAACAGGTTGGGTTTAGTCAGCTCAATAGCTATGTACATTAAGCCTGCGTCTAGAATCCCTCTGGCTTGCCAAAAATGGTGCAGTTGGCTGGAAAACAGTCCTATTGACTGTTTTTCATTATTGCGTGTGGAGTAAGGAGACCTCAGCTATTTTACAAAATATTAAATCACTTTTGCAAATCAGGAGTAATAGGAGGACAAATATACGTGGGGCTCTGGTCATGGAAAATGTGTGCTTCAGTTTTTGTCAGAGTTTAGCCTATAACTATTTTTGGTTCTAATCTCTTTTGAGCAACATCTGGCTTTACTCCTGAATTACAAGTAGTTATAGCTTTGTGGTGTTTACAAGAGAAGGAAATATTGAATATATCAAAGTATTATATGTACTTATGTCAGTAGGTGTGAATTGATTACTTGTTATGTAACAACCATGCATTCGTTGCATTCAAATTTTAAAATGCATATTGTATATTTTCCTGGAAAAATTCCCCTCTACTTTTTCTCTCCTTATACTCTTTTATTAAAACATGAATTTATCTTAGAACAAGATATTCTGTAGGATAAGATTCATTGTTATATCTTGATATTGATACTGCATAGTGCATGAAAACACTACATTTTCTAATAGGTCATTAAGATCAACTCACAAATAATACAACAGATGGGCACCTTTTAGCTTTGAGATGGTTCTTTCTGCTATGAAAACAAATCAGCACTGATATTGCCAAGGGAATTTATCATATTATAATGTGTTAAGTCCAGTGAATTTGGAGCAGAGAGACACGACAGGCACCAAATCAAGCACAGGAGAGCTCACTGCTTTCTTTTAAACGTGATCTACAATTGCTAAAGAATTAAAATCTATAATTTCAAAATAATAAATAAATATAGTACAGAGAGTCTCAGGTTCATTTGGGTTCAGAAAGGCAGTAATAAATTAATAGCTGCCTAGGACAAATTGTCTTTTTGTCAGTCATATAACATGGGAGAATATTCTTGTTGTTCTATTTCAGGCAAAATGATAGTGGGAGAAGTGGGGGCCCAGAAAATGTGTGCTCTTTGTGAGTCTTAAATGAAGTGGCTTAATTTTATTACCATTCTATTCTGCTTATGACAACAATCACTTTTTATTTTGCATCATGGTCACATCTGACTTTATGTTCCCAACAAGATAGTGAGCTCTTTGGTGGTACAATCACTTTGCTATCTCTTCTTTGCTGGTAAATGTACCTTGTCAATCGCATAGTAAATACATATGTGTTGAAAACATGAGTGAATTTCAAAGAGCAATAATTTTGTATTAAAGCATAATGGAAAGTAAACAGCTTATGATTTTATAAAGAATGAAAGAAACGGGAAGGATTAAGCATAGTTCTGGGACAGTCTCTTGACTTAGATTATAAATCAGAAGTAAAGGCGAGGGGCTGGTGAGATGGCTCAGTGGTTTAAAGCACCTACCTAGAACAAGCTAAGCAAAGCACAGGGACCGCGGTTCAATCCCCCAGCACCACATGCCAGCCCGCCCCGCCCCCTGGTGGGCTGAGCTGGCCACACACACACACACACACACACACACACAAAAAAAAAAAAAAAAAAAAAAAAAAGAAGAAGTAAAGGCGAAAGGCAGCCGACGGCAGCCGTGCCTCACTGACCGATGTAGTACTTGGTGCTGTCCTCCTCTCCCCTCCGCTTCAGCTCGGTGGTCTTCTTCACTGTGGTGCTGGCCTCAGGCTGATCTTTCCCTTTTCCTTTAGCCCCCTTGGCACTCAGGGCCTTCTCTTTGGAAGGTTTTGCTTTTCCTTTATCTATTTCTACTTTAGGTTTCTCTTCTACCATCTGGAAAGAGAGATACTTTTTTCACCCTCCAAATCCTAGGGCACACAAATAATACCTCTAATTCTTTATTTCACCCCATCCTTGTTTCTCTTTTGATTTTCACGGATTCATTTGTTAAACTGCAAGAGTGGAGATGTCAGCCTGGATCTAGACTGTTGTGCTTCAGGACTAGAGGGCAGGTGCCAGGAAGGAAGTTGGTAAGACAAAAGCCTTCTGGGAGACAGGTGGGGCAGGAAGATTAGCCTGAGTACATTGTCATGTTAGGAACTCAGATGTCCATTTTAGCCCAACCCTGGAGAGCATATGCTAGAATCTTAAGAGGGGTTTGGGTTGATCATCAAAAACAAACAAAACAAAAAATAAATGAGAAACAGGACTACAGAAGTGTTTTTTTTTCCCCTAAAATCTTGATAATGTTTCTCATGGTTTAATAATGTGCTTACTACTTTTAAAGATTGGAACATTCTTTTGAGAACTTAGCACTAACAAATTTTTTTATTACAGTCCTATTTAACCAATGGTTGCTGTTTTATATATCCAAATATGGGAGCAGCACAAAAGATGTGGAGACCTAGTATTTCTGTCATATGACCCTTCTCCTACAACTGCAAAATACTTTGTGCAATGTTTGATACTGCGATTGTGCTTTTAGCAAGCGCAGAGTGACTGGCTCAAGAAAATAATATGGCAGTGTTTCATCATAAAACGGCTACATGGAAGATCTAGAATATGCCTTAACTATTTTCCAAACTTAAAGGTGAAAAAAAAAGATAACTAAAATGATTGTACCATTATATTGGATTCTTATATTTATTTCTTTAAGGTCATGAAGATTTAAGTTTTCCTCTCCTGAAGATTTCTTTTCTTTTTGTACGGGGGGTTGAACTCAGGACCTTGTGCTTATCGGACAGGCCCTTATGCCACTGAGCTATCTCCCAGGTCTAAGATTGCATTTCTTTTTGATACAGGGTCACGCTAACCATTGAGACTCATAGTGATTCTCTTGTCTCAGCCTCCCTAGTGCTGGGATTACAGGTGTGCACCACCACTCTCGGTTCTGGGGCAGGCACGACATGCGGTACCCAGGAGCGAACTCCGGGATGTTGTGCTTAGCAGGCAGGCACTTATGCCACTGAGCTATCTGCCTGGCCCAAGATCACATTTTGTAAAATTGAATACATTAGGTTTGGGAGAGCGGAAGACATGATGCTCTGGCATCAGATGACAGAATACAACACAGAAGAGGAAAGATACATTTTCTCTCTCTGTGTCCCCTGTGGTTCTGCTACTGCCAACATCTGCTCTTTGGCAGCAGAGGAAAACATCTGTACGGGCTGGGGTGCCGTTACATATAGCTTTGCGGAGGAGAAAGTCACTAACTGTGAGAGGGGCTCTTGTTAATAGGAAACAAAGAGAAATTAAGTGTGGCTAACGTATATGCCGCTGGTTAAATGACGTCTTAGAATGGCCAAGGGCAAAGACTGAAAGAACACATCCCTGGGGTGGAAGCAGAGGTTCAGAGAAGGAGCTCCATACCAGGCAGGAAAGGGATGGGTAGGGAAGGAGAGTAATACCAGAGTCAAGCTTGCTGAACTTCACGTGTCTAACTCTATACTCTATGACATAAATAAGGTAATCTTAATCATAAACTATTAGTGAAAACAGAAATTCTGAAAATATGTGGGGTACCAGTGTTCATTTGCTCACTTACTTGTCCACTAAATTTTTTGTTTGAGCTTCCATTTCTGCCTGAGTTTCTTCAGGAGCAGAGGAGAGCATTGGTATAGATGGTGGATACCACTCAGGGCCTTGGCTGAAGGCAGCAAGAAAAGCACAGGTAAGGCATAGAGATGTGAAGGGGCCCCATGTTTCCCTCTATGCTGGATGCCAGCTGGTGCCTACATGGGGTTGGGCTTTGCCCCCCTGGGACATGAACAAGAAGATACAAACATAATTATAAATTTGTAGTGAATTCTATGAAGGATAAAGCTGAACAGGGTACTAGAAGTGCAATTGAAGAGATCTCTTTCATAAGTGAATGGTGGAAGGTTTCTCCTGAGGAGGTGACATTTGAGCTAAGACCTAAAAAACGAGTCCATCAGCAGGGAAAGCCCTCAGGCATAGAGGATCCGAGTGTATTCAAAGAACTGAAAGGAGACAGGTGTAGCAGAAAAATGAGGGCAAGAGCAGAGTGACCCAAGGTCAGGTGTGGGAGGTGGGACAAAGGCCAGGCTTTGGAGGAGGAGTAACAACTTTATATTTTATTTAAAATTCTGTGGAAGTCTTAAAAGGTATCAGGTAGATGAGCACAATGAATTTGAAAGATTGTAAGCCAGAAGTCAAACAAGGAATCTCCATCAATAGTTCAGATAAAACCCAATAGTGACTCCTATGAATGTATTGGGAGACTGGAGAAAAGCGAATTGGATTGAGACTCATTTTGGGTGTAGAAACTGCCAGAATTAAAAATATCAGAAACAAACACATCAAAGTCAGTGCTCTGGATTCTATCATGAGCAACTGCGTGGTTGGTGTTAGTACTACTTATAGCAATAGAGAAGACTAGAGGCAACACTATTTTTGTTGTAGGTGAGCAGCCTATTAAGAGCGATTATGGTATATTCCCAATGATCCTGTGATGGCAAGGAAAAAGAGGAACACACACATTCTCATCTAAGAAGATATATTTAGCTAGAGTTACAGATGTTAACTTCACCACGAGACAAATCACCTTGAGTGAGAAAGAGTTCCTCATCAATGTAAGAATTAAGTCTAGGATCCTGGAACCTCAAACACTTAGCAATTTGTTTTAAGAGGAGATGCCAGAAGAGACAAAGCAGCTAAATGAAGGGAAATAAAAATCTAGTGTGAAGACAGAGAATGGACTGGCCCAAAATGGAAAAATATGTGTTGAGAGTTGTGGCTCAGGCTAAAGAGAGCACTTCTGAGTGTGTGAAGGTAGTAAACAGGGAAGCTGTACTAATGGGGAGAACAGATGACTGTTTAGAGAGGTTTGGTTGTGAAGGGGAACCAGAGCTCTGAATCATACATTAGAGGAGATGGCTGGAGAGGGATGAGGTCAAGGTATGTTTCTACGTATGTGTGCATGTCAAGTTTACAGCTGATGGGAAACCCAGTAGAGAGGGTGGCAGTGATGACATGAGGAGATTCTGTTTCTTTTTTTAAATTTGTGTATTTGGCGTAGGGTCTCTGTTATAGTTTGTGCCTAGTTGTCTCCCCAAAGCCTTATGTAATCATGGGGTGGGGACTTCTAGAGTTTGAGATTAACTCATGATACACTGGGATTATGGGTCTTAGTACTACTGGGATTATGGGTGTGAGTGCTACACCCAGCCTGGGGGACAGATAGCCTGAATAAGACAGACAGACAGACAGACAGACAGACAGACAGACAGACAGACAGACAGAGAGACAGTTTCTCTCTGTTGCCATTGTTGCTGCTACTCCTTCCTTGGCCCCACTCTGATCTTTGCTGCTGCCATGAAAAGCTGCTCTCTGCCATGGGCCACTCTGCCTTGGAGCCAGCTGAGCATGGACTGAAACCTCCAGTAACTGTGAGCTGAATAAGCCTTTCCTTCCTTCATTTTGAGTGTCAGGTATTTGTCACAGCAATGAGACTAGAGTAACTGTAACAGTCTAGCTATGCAGCTTGGACTCAGAGTGATCCTTCTGTTTTCAGCCTCCCCAGTAAATGATACAGACATGTGCTACCACACCCAGACAAAGTCGCTGAACTTCTTGCTCAGCATGCCTGGAGATGGGGCCTGCATGACACACGTTCTGGGAATCATATCTTAGTCCCTGTGCTTGCCAAAGGCGCTATCTTGCCGGCTTGTTAGGGAATTTTTTGTTTGTTTGTTTGTATTTTAGGAAGGGTCTGCAGGGTGTTCAGGGTCTCACTACTAGATAGGACTCGTAGTGATCCGCCTGTTTACAACCTCCCAAGAGCTGGGATTACAGGTGTGTGCCACCATGCTCAATCTCAATTGCCATCTCAGAGTGCTCTGGGGGTGGGTCCAGCACTGTAGACTTGAGGATCAAACGCCCAGCCCCTGCGCCTGCTTGCAGATGCTTTAATCCATGGAACTATTGGCTGACCCTTGGAAAATTCTTCAGGTACACAAATGGAACAAGATCAAGAGTATGTGTCAGTGACTCTAGATAGACGGGAAGAGAGACAATTTCTCAGCTTAGTAAGAGCAGCAAGGAGAAGGTGGGAGGCTGGATGTGGATGCAAGAATGGAGAGGTCTTGATGGTACTGAAAGAAAGCTTCAAATTTCCAAGCGAAGCACAAGGCAAAGTCAGCAACTGAAATCAGACAAGTAAGTCACAGGAGGCTTGAGTATAGATAATAATATGAGTCATTTCAGAGTGAGGGAGCAAGTATTTATATGAAAAAAACAGAGCACAGCTTTGCCAGCTTTGATGCGTGATTGGAAATTTTGAGATTGTTAATTTAAAACAGAATTAGTGTGTCGAGCTGTACATGTGCCTCAGTTATCTTTGGCTGCTCAGAAACAGACATGAAAATGTTGGGTCACTGAGCTCATTCTGGGAGTTTTGCAAAATAATTTGATAAAGAATAAGGGAACAAAATTGTATAAATAAATGATCAACAGTAATTGGGACCATGTAGTCTAAGATAAAAGAACCAGCTGGTGTAAAAATAGGTAGAAACTGGTGCATCCATGAATTAAAGTTAGGATTGAGTTGAAGGAATTCTGTAGGGAAGGCATATTAGGCTATAAGTAAGAAAAAACCAGAAAACTTCCAAGGTGAGAGGATGGGAGGTTGTAAGAGTGGTGATGCGAATTTCATAGGATGACCACGGGAGTAAATGATGCTGGAGGAGTGAAGGAAAGGAGCGTTAGAGAAGTGACAACTGGTCACAATTATACACAATGAAAAGGAGGAGCCAGGAAGGCAGGGCATAGTAGTGGCCATTCCAAATTGTCCGAACGAAGTAAAGAATGTCCTG